TGACCCACTAATTAATATGTTTACATCTGAATTTTTTTAAATGTTTTGTTTCCGGTCCTTAACATATAGCAAACTGCTGATTTAAAGTAACAATAATTACTGGAGTAAAAGAAACAAAAGAAAGCACCTAATTTTCCACTCTAATGAGGGGACGTTAGATCAGTTCAGTCATGAGCAGCTTCCCTCTGTCCAGATGCCTTCTTTTGGTACAGGTGCACAATTTGTAGGGAAACTAGTGTTGGGGTATTAGCTTTAGCTTAGGGTTTAATTATTCTAAAACGCTACCATGTTAATGACCTGATGAATATTTTTAAGTCTGATTTTTAAAATCAATTGTTGATTCTAAAAATGTTGTTAATATAAATATGTAACATTTCATATGTAATGTTACAGGACCTGTAACTAGGTTTTAAGGAATTTTTAAATGTAGCAGGTTGATTTTTTGACCCATGTATTTCAATTTCAGCATAACACAGCATTCATTTATGATTTAGCATCTAATTTCATTTTTTAAACAAATGGCAACAATAAAGAGAAATCAACAAAGCACTTAGAGGAGTTTGTTCAAATGTATGCCACATTTACATTAAAAAAGAGACTTAATTTTTACTATGTTTAATAGAATCTGAAACATTTCTTTGGCTCCTTTTGGCAGTGGGTTTGGAAGGGTTCTATCTGACAAGATAAAGATTTAAGATTGCATAATGGAGATATCTGTTCATAAAAAAACTGGACTGTGACCACACCTTTAGAATGGACCATGTTTAAACAGTGACCAAAAAGGAAAAGGTTGTACACCTTACTATAAATGCAGATACCTGGTAGCGCCTTTTTTAAATCTTAAAGTCAAGCTTTAATCACAAATACTGCTTGTGAAAAATGCCCACTCTTCTGTCTTCTCTCATTTACTAAAGGAGATGTGTGAAAATCTTCAAAATGTCTTTAAATTTACCCATCTTGAGCTATTCAAGGTAAAGTTTACCTCTTATCATACCATGTAATTATTAAAATGATAGTCATAATAATCTGTTATGGTTCTATGAAAATGCCTAAATTTTGCAGGACAAGTTCTTTTTTTAAAAAACCTTTCAAGAAAATCCATTACAGGAGATCTCAGAAATTAAAGTTCAATGTCCTAACCGGTCCCAAAATTTGATGCAGATTAGATGATAAGAACAGACCATAAATACTAAAAATAAAGATATAATGTAACTATGAGTGTGAAGATGGTAGAGAATTTCTACATAATTTACTTTCTCAGCCACTTTCAACCTCCATCTCCACTATAATGATACTTCACCGAGGGAATTTCCTTTCATCATTCTACAGTAAAAGCTTTGTTATCCAGCACCCATGGGGAATGGGAGATGCCAGATAACAAAATATGTCGGTTAACTGAGTGGGCCCAACAGGCAACTTTGCCTGTTCAGGCTGCTGCCTCTCCCGCCATGTCCAGCGTGTCGCTGTCCCTCCTGCTGCATTGCTACTCACTCTTTTCACCACATCGCTGCCCCTCCCACGGGCCCCGAGGGACAGGGAGTGGGGGCCCCATGCAAGCTGCTATGACCTGGGCCATGGTGGGCACTTCTGGTTTCGCTTTTCCCTTACAAGCTGGCATGCCAGTTAATAAAGCATTGTAAGGTGCCGGATAGTGCAGCTTTTACCGTACTGCCATAAGCCTCAGCTTTTCCTTATCACTGTTTCCTGGTCTTCAAAGGGATGAAGATGGCAGAATAACTTAAACTATTTCTTGTATCACTATAGAAAAAAATTCTTTCGTGTTTGCTCATGGTGATACAGACATAGTTATATTGTCTAGTAAACACCTTCAGATTTACTTTTATAGTTATGGTCAAATACCATGCTAATGAGGAACATGAGTTACAAATACCCATCTAGAATAGTTATATTGTGTATACCAACTAAAGATTAAATACAGTGTAAATACTGGTAGAATTGAGTCACTTCACAGACTATCATCAGATAATAAATTTCTACCCTGTGTGAAGTAGGTAAATATCAAGCACATCTTACAGATGTGAAACCAAGGTACAGAGAAATTTGACAACATTTTCACAGGTGGTAAGTGTTCACAAATTCTGCTAAATCAATGATGCTACAGGTGCAGCAGCTTTGCCAATTAGGCAACATGCAATTTGTCCAAGGTGACTTGGATAAACTGTTCTCAGTACTGACTTTGAGAAGAGTAGCTTTGCAAAGGTAAATAAATTGGCCAGGTGAAAAAATTAATCGAAAGCTGAAAAAGCCACCTTTATCTTCTAATGACAAAGTATTAAAGTTGTAAGATTACATGAATTCAAGAATAGCTTTTTAGAGTTAGCATGACAAACCACAAGTTAGTGGGAAAATGTTTTTAAGCTCTCCAATTTATGCAATAATTCCTCACAAACAATATAAAGGTTTTCCAAAAATGCATCATTTGTATAAATTATGCTATTTTAACAGGTTACAAACTCCTGAATAGCAGGACTGCAAACAGACCTTCAACAAATGCAGCAATGTCAAGTAACACCTACGGTCACTGTACAACCCAAGACCCAAAGTATTTCTTGAGCAAATACTTCATTTCCTCTAAATAACACCATGTTCTTGCTGATGTCTAGATTTGAAACTCAAGAGTCAATTTAAATTCTTATTTATAGACTTCAGAAACCAGGAAAGTCCAGGCAAGTCTGTGTTTGAACTTTTTTAAATATCCTCTTGTACCAAGTTCTATAGGAGGATCTCCACCTTTAAAAAAAAAATAACTATCCTTCAGGCATGTCTTTGATGTTATCATGGAAGATCTAATTTTACCCAACTTTGTGGGACACATTGACAAAGGGCTAGGAATAAAGAAGTCTGCCCAGTGGCAAAAATCTCTCACCCCACCCAACATACATTTTAGAGAGGACCTGCAAATATACAGAGTGCAAAAACTTTAGAATCACATGCTGAATGCCACAAAGAGCTAGATAAAGAGTATTCAACACTATTCCTAAATCTTAGGTCTTCTGTTTTTCAGGTTTTTGGTGTTCAGACATGCCACAGTTCATCAGATCCCACTACGCTGATGCTTCAGCATGGGCTCTGTTGGTGATCTCAACCCTACTGAAACCCAGATGAAGACCAAATTTAACTCACAAAATAAAAACCAATTTAAAAATGAATACAACACTGCAGATTTTAAGGAAGTTCTATAATATTATCTGATCTCTCATAGAATATGAACTAAGATATTAAAAATGTAAAACAAGCTGCTATCAGTTGTTAAAACTTTTATTACCTTTTAACTAAACTACAAATTAACAGAAATCTGTGAATGCTTAGTCAAACACTCAAAGCTCAATGGTGTAAGTGGCTGATTGGACTCAAGTCTTCTTCTAAATTCAGTGGCAGGAATGGAAACATCTGCACTCTTAAGTATTTGAAAATGAAGGACTAACACTGTAATTTTGAAATCTTTTTGAAATCATTGTGGCTACCTACAAGTACAAGAGTCTGCATGCACAGAGCCACTTGCAAGAGCAGGGACTAAATTAAGTCATAAGCACTTTTCTTTCAGAGCATTTTATACAATCTTTAATAAACAAAGATGCATTTGCTGAAGTTCAAATGAAATGATGCTTTAACCCCACTTGGAAAAAAAACCTCATCACATGAGTCAAGATTGTATGATCAGGTCTTCAATTTCAGACCAAATATATAAAGAAAAAAATATGGATATTATGTAACAAAAATAAGTTATATGATGAATGTTTTAATTTCTCACCAATCAAAGAATGGAGAGGTACAGTGCCTAATAAGTTATAACCATGGTGCGAGTAAAATGTGGACATCATAATATAATTCCAAAACAGAGAGCTTATATAATGAATTTCATTGTGAACATTTAAAATAATAGAAATTAAAAAAAATACTTTTTGCAGAAGAAGCCTTAAGTTATAATAGAATATAACAGACATTGCCACTTGGTTTGCCTTCAGCTGAGCTGAGAATGTGACATGTAAATCTATTTCACTATTTATACATATGTAGGGACAAAACGATAGGGGGAAGAGAGAAAAAATAATTGGTTGCTATTTTAAAGCAACTCTCAACTATGAAGTACTGAAGTATGTCCAAACCAATTACAGCTGCCAGATGAGGCTGCATTATGTTTCTTGGTTGATCTCAGCTCATGAAATATGATTTAACAGCTAAGGTCCCACTCCTGCAAGAATATTTATATTGCAAGCCCAAAAGGGATCTCTATGATCTAGTCCAATGGGGTTTTTGATTCCACAGATCACCCACAACCACTGTGCAGCCTCAACGCTCAACTCCACCTGATCTTCATACATAGGTCCACGCTGTAACCACTCTAGCAACCTCTGACCCTTCAAAGACCCCTACAGGCCACCTCTCCTCCAACCTTATGTAGTACCTCACAAACTCCCTCCCAACACCACATGGATCCCTAGAGCCTACCTCCCTCATGGTCTGCTTGCCATGCATGCTGCAGAGATATCTAAACTAGCTGTGCACATGATAGCTCTGAAATAGAAGCAGAGTAGCCAGGTATGCATGGTGTGTCTGGGCTAATCTGATCTCCTTTTCAGCAGGGTTATTTAGTGTGTCAGTAGTGCCACATTAATGTGGTTTTGCTGTTTCCAGTTTAGGGTACTGGGCTGTTCTTTACACATGGGAATGTCTGGGGAAGGCCAAACCCCTGAATCTCTCTGTATTTATCCCCACAGTACATCTTTGGTATCTCTATAACCTACTAATTGAGAAATACTGATCTAGTCCAACTTCCTAAGTAACTTGAACTTTACCGATTTGAGTGGTTTCATATTGGCTCAGTAGTCAATGGCAAGGATCTAATGGCAGTATTGGAACTTTAGCTTTAATAGTTTTCCTTTTAAAACAAGCACAACTGATTGAAGTGACATTTTAAAACTAATAGTACTGACATTTACTAATTTTCAGAAAACACAACATCTGTTAAAACAGTTTACCTTGTACTTCTTTATCATGACATTCTTTCAGTCTGGACCAGAGTTCCTTGAAGAAATCACCAGTGGACTCAGCCGAGCTAGGGCTCCCACAGCTTCCTGCAGAAGCATTCATCTTCTCTTTTCTGTCCCTTATTTTTCACTTGTATCTAGTTCACTCTTTCCCTTGTAGTTTTATATTACATTGTTATGAAGCTGTTTTTGAAGAGCAGCATGCCTGTAACGACAGATTGACATCACTTACATTTGCATTTATCAGAGTATGACTTGCAGCCATGGATGAAGAACAAAGCCCACTGTCTGTCTTTGTCAAGGTGTGCTTATTTGCTGACAGTCATTCATCCTGCAATAGGGGTTAGTTCTAATTATCTTGCCAGAAGCCACACAATTATTTAAGAACAAAAATTATTTTGGGGAAAAAGAAAACAGAGCTCAAATTAAAATTAGACTTTAAGGATGTTTACTCTTTCCCCTATCTAAAACACATATGTAATTCCTGCTTGTCAAAAATTCCTTATGCTTTCAACATTTTGCAATTTGGAAATAAAAGCTGGAAAGGTGCCAATTTGGCTAGTGAAATCATAAAGGCATCTGTTTGTGAGCGCGTAGGTATTTTTTATGTAAATAATTTTAAATATGGGCCTAAACTGCCCCCCCCATAAGGGCATTTAAAGGTTTCCATTGTACATTTTCTCTATGTTCTGTGTAGAAACAATCATATTCCTTATGAAAGAGAGAATAGGAGGCTGGTCTTCAAGCCTGCAGATCTCCCTGTAAAAGTTTACAAAGATCTCAGGGGATCCAACAGAGTCACGGAGCTCTTGTCTTCAGCACTGCCCTTCGTTTCCTTCAGAAATTCCACATACATTACTCAGATAGAGCTATACCAGAATATCTATGGTAGCTTTGCAATCCTGATAGGCTCAATAAGACAGCAGAGTTCCTCAGGGATACTATAGATGAAACATGGTGCTGTGGTTAAATTCTAGATCAGAACTTAGATTCAGGTTCAACTCCTGTACCTGCTACAAACACTGGAGGTATAATGTTAGAGAAGCCGCATTTTTTCTCTATCCTTCAAGTTTCCCATGTGGATAATAATTCTTCCTTTCTCCTATTCTTTGTCAAGTCTGTTTAAACTGTAAGATCTTTGGGAATGGACTGGATTCTTACTATGTACCTGTGTTTATCTTTGACATAATTATGTAATGCAGATTAGAAATGAAAAAGAAAATAATCCAGCTAAATCCAGATAATATTATTGTCAAATGAGGATTCTGGCCAAGAATGCTGGAGACAGACATTTAGACCTGAGCTCCTCAGGTGAAAAGTAAGGCTTCTCCTCACATATCCAGCAAGAGCTAGGAGTAATCAACAGTATGTTAGGAAAGAAAAAAAAAGTGTAATCCGAGTCCCAAATTCTACTTGCTCCAAATATCCAAAATGAATCATCACTCTCAGCACATAGTGCAAATATTCAAGATAAGATCACACACAGTGTTCCTTAAAGAAGACTGTACAGTTGCACTAATGCAGGAGAAACATAATCATATCAGACTACCAGGCTTCATGGCTGTGAAGAGAAGCTTGAAGAAAAAAAAAAAAGTGAACCACGTATAGAAAGACATGTTTGCAGACCACCTCCAGTAGAGGAAGAAGGAACCACTAGATCCAGGAAGAAAGCAGTTTGATGCCTTCCCACATCCCTAAATCAGAGAAGGTCCTACATCCCTAAATATGAGTAGGATGTCTGGATACCTCACTGGACTTTGCAAGACTGGGATGGGTACCAGTGTTGTGTCATTATAGTACTGTCTGCTCCCACCCCGAGTACAGTTTGCTGTTGTGGTCCAACTCCCTCCAAAAGGATATAGATGAACTAATAAGAGTAGAGAAGGGCAGCAAGGATGATCAGGGGTCTGGAAAGGCTTCCATATGAGGACAAGCTACATAGGTAAGCCTTTTCAGTTTAGAGAAATACATGACTGGAAAAGGGATATGATAGAGGACTATAAAATAATGGATGGTGTGAAGTAAAAGATTTACTAGCTCTCACAACAGCAGAACAAGGGGGACATACAAAAAATTATTAGAAAGCAAGTTTAAAACAAACAAAGGAATTGCCCTTTTTTTTTTTTTTTTTACCCAGTTTCTAATTAGTTTCTGGAACTCGTTGCCACAAGATGTCATAAAGGCTAACCATTTAACCAGATTTGGAAGAGTGCTGAACACACACGTACAGGATAAGTTCATGAACTTGTATTAAACATAACAGGAGTACAGCCTACAAATGAGGGTTTTCTAAGCCTCTGAATGCTAGAAGCTGGTTCCTTTCCGCAGGCAGATCTGCAGAAAGGGGGCTGATCTGTCTGAATAAGCCCTGCATAAATACTGTTCCCTTTAGCATCCACTCTGCCACTGTAAGATACAGGATACTGGCCTACGTAGCATCAAAATGAGCTCTCTCTCACAGGAGTCCATATAGATCTTCATAAAATGACTGTCTCTTTTTAAGCAAAGCAAACATCTACTTTTAGCAATGGTGTCACTCAACGTTTATAAATTCCGGAAATGGGTGTCTGTGTTAGTACTTTGTTGAAATGATCATGGTGGCTCCTTCTTAGCCCTACTGATACTGCTCAGCAGCTGTCCCCAAGCTTAGGAACAACTAGTGGGCTCTCAAGCACCCAAGACCTGCCAGGGGTTAAGACTGTCACACTACATGTACAGTAAATAGTAGCAGTCAATGCTCCTCAACTTTTTTGCCCTGTGGGCTGGCCGCAGGCCTGATCCTGCCATGCGGAGAGCCTGGGCACTGAGCGCCCATGCTCCACGAAGCCCACATGTTTCCTAACTCCCAGGAGTAATCTTTGGGATTTTTTTAGTGCTAAAACAGATAGCAGCCTCCAGCCAAGCCCTGCCAGCTTGCAGTCCACAGAGCAACGCTCATGAGGAAGGCAGTGCAGACACACCTCGTCCAACCTTGCGGACAAAGCCTATTAAAACAATCGCAGTTATTTACCCGGCTTGTCCTGAAGAGTTGGGAGGCCAACGCGGGCCGCAGCGCCTACACGGCACACCTCGGGCCGTTAAGCCATGCAGCATCCCTAACCCCAAGGGTGAAAGCATCTTTCCTGAGGGGCTGCTTGGCGAAATGCCCCCTGCCCAGCGAGGGGCTGCAGGGCCCGGCAGGGCCGGGGTGCCCCGTCTGAGAGGCCCGCTTGACCCCGCCCCCAAGAGCGGCCCCGCGCAGAGGTGGGGCACGGGGGCACGTGCCGTTACCTGCCGGCGGCGGGTTAGACCCGACGGCTCCTCACACCGCCCGCGGGAAAGAGAAACTCAAGCTCGGCTCCTTCCCCGGCCCAGCCAATCAGCGCCGCGGGAGAATTCTCGCGAGACGTCCCGCCCTATGCTCGCGGGACTTTCCCTCAGGAAAGGGGGTGCAGCGCCTGGAGGGGATGTTTTCCTATGGAGGGAGGGGAGGTGCGCGCCTCTCAGCCCCGCCCCCTCGGCCGTCTGGTTGGCTTCAGAGGAGCCAATTGTACCCGCTCCCCGCTGATGCCGTGCCGCTAGCTCCAGAGGCCGGCGCGCGGGGGTGGCAGTGAGGGCGCGAGGTGGAGGGGGGTTGAGAGGGAGGGGCTCTTGTCTGTCAAGCATGTGCAGCCGCCCGTGTCTTGTTTTCGGCAAACACGTGGGGACTAGCAAGGGGGTGAATTGGCAGTGGTGGTGCAGGACCCTGCCTTGCCTTCAGAGACACCCTGAAACCAGCACAAAAAACAAAGGAGATGTTGGGCGGTCTCCACCGGCCTGACAGAAAACCCTGGCTCTGAGCAGGCTCCCTATAAGCAGGAAGTCGGCGTGAAAAATCTCCACTGGCATGAGTCACTCTCCATGGATCTGGCCCTTGTTTGGGTGCACACAGAAACAGCAGGAATCAGAGTGATGGTTTCTGGCCTGCAGGCACCCCTCCATGACTTGGCACCTCATTTCAAAACCCAAGGGTAGAGGTGGAGGTTTGTCCAAAGACATCAGCCTGGTTTATCTACTTATCACCTCACACCACACTTATCTTCTCACACCACAAAGGATCTGGCAGCACCCCAGGGTGCCCTGACTCATGGGTGACTGGTGCCTCCTGAGTCTGGAGGGGCACCTGCAGAAGCTGCCCACCAGATCAGTGGTGGGGCGGGGGGCTGGAGAGCACCAGCAGAAGCCACCGGCAGCATTGGTGGTGGGGACGGCCCTGTCAGGGAGGGCACGTGCCCCTCATGCCTCCCCTATCAGTCGCCTATGCCCTGGCTCCCTGGTTGAGAGTCACTGACTAAGAGATGGGGCTTAAATATATGCTCGAAAGACATGCCATTGCTTGGTTAGAAGTCAGTCCTGATCACACGTGTATTACTTACATAAGCAGTAGTATGAATAATGTTACGTACATATGTGTTTACCATACCAGCCTGTTGTTGCTACTTAACCTTACTGTTAGATTATTGAGTTAGGTCACATGCTTGAATACTAGAGTTGCTAGCAGGTACTCTCCAGATGATGATATGCTAAATAACAATTAGATCCAAAATACTATTTTAATATGTCTGAAGAAGAAAAGCCTTTTTTTTTTTTTTTGGGGGGGGGGTGAGGGTCCAAGCTGAGTTTGCATGTGTGCCCTAGAATAGGGGTTCTCAAATTTTTATGCAGCAGCCCAGCAAAACATGGCACAGAAGTGGCCATGGTCTGGCAAGCCACGGCCCAGCAGTCACAGCCAGCCACGGCCGGAATTTCTGGCTGGAAAACAGGCAAAGATATCCCCGGACCCTGTGGAAAGAACTGCAGCCTCTCCACCCGGCTCTGGGTGGCCACGTTTTGCCATAGCCACTTTTGGTTCGGCAGCCAACTGTGCTGCAGACCGGCAGCCGACCCTCCACGGCCTGGCACCAGGCCGCAGCCTGGGGATTGAGAACCCCTGCCCTAGAAGTAGAATGCTGTTAAATGAGCTAAAACTAACTTTGGCCTGTCAGTCAACTGCAGAATAGTTAACTACTGCAAGAATAGTTTCAAGTTTCCTATTATCTCAAATCTTTCCAAAGCATGTTACTACCTTTTTCTTTTAAAGTCTACAGCCTCTGAAAATTCAATGAACTAGGAGGATTTTGCTAGCAGCATCCTCCTGCTGAAGACAGAAAGCTATCCTCAAATCTATGGTAAGATCTGATAAGTCGT